GCCCTCTAGCGTTGTATAGTATTCTAGACCCCTCACTATCATCGCGTGGCGCCCTCTAGCGTTGTATAGTATTCTAGACCCCTCACTATCACCGCGTGGCGCCCTCTAGCGTTGTATAGTATTCTAGACCCCTCACTATCACCGTGTAGCGCCCTCTAGCGTTGTATAGTATTCTAGACCTCACACTATCAGTACGTGGCGCCCTCTAGCGTTGTATAGTATTCTGGACCCCGCACTATCATCGCGTGGCGCCCCCTGGCGTCGTACCTGCTCTCCCTGTACTTGACGTTGTAGGCGAGGAAGGTAGTAGCGAGTATGATTCCAGCCGTAGAGAGGCAGGCAGCTACCACGTAGACACGACTGTCCACCGCGTCCAGATGTATGACGAGCACACTGCGGTCGTGCGGTGGGCTGCCACCTGTGAGCCATAGTCAACGTCAACATCATCATCATTGTCATCAACTTTGTCGTCGTCATCATCGTCATCATCATCGTCACTACCATCATACATATAAGCAAATAGGCCTAAATAAATAAATAAATAAATAAATAAATAAATATATATATATATATATATATATATATATATATATATATACATTATAATAATATTTATTTTAAATCTTTATACTAATATTATTATCATAAATAATATACACAAAAGGAAAACATTATATTAATGAGTGATAAGTGATAATAGAGTTATGCGATGAAACAACGCGGCCAACCGTAAGCGTCGCACCTTAGCCAGCAGTTCCTTAGTGACCGTCAGTTTTGCTATCATATCGTGCTGCCTGTGGATCGGCAGCACGTTCGTTGACGGTGTATTCTGAGCGAAGGAGGTGGACGGCTGGACGGAGGTGGTGGCGACGACGGGCTGCGGGGCCGTCGCTGTGCCGCTCTTACGGTGCTGCGCGATCTAGCGGCAAACAGCGGAACTAACACGCGGAGAGTGACGAGGCGGAGGTCGTCAAGGAAGCGACGCCTTTATACGCAATTATAAGCTGTTATTATTATTATTAATATTACATATAGACGAGTGAGCGACTATTGCGTGCGTGGTACAGCCGTCGTATCGCATCTACGCGGCGATCGACGGCAGCTGATAAGCGGTAATTACGGCTAGTGATTAGGGCTTTAATTGTGAGCGCCCGCGGTGAGTGCGGTCCACGTTAGCGTGTGAAACTGGAGCGGAAATTCACGGGTTACGCATCAAAGACGGTTCGCTGAGCGGTGTGACGGTATAGCAAAGCGTTGCTGATCGCTTATTAGAGTGACGATTAGCGGGAGGAGGGGAGGGACTAAGGGAAGGGGAGGAAGGGAGGCAGCGAGGAGAGGGACGGGAGAAACCGAGGAAAGGTGAGGTGGAGACACCGAGGAGAGAGGAGGAGGGTAGGAACCGAGGAGAGGAGAGAGGAGGAAGAGGAACCGAAGAGAGGAAAGAGGAGGGGGAGGAACATAGAGAAAACCGATGAGGTCAGATACATGGAAGCGTACCTTTGGAGCAAAGATGATTATCTGGGTGGTGCTGGTGGCGACGATCAGACACGACGACTGCACGATGAAGCCAGTCGTCGCCTGGTCGGCTAGAATGACGCCAATCGTGACGCCGACGATGCCGAGGACGACGGCGTTGTAGATGCACATGGCGATCTGACGCGAGTCGTTAAACTCCTCGCGCTTCACCTGAGCGACGTACGAAGTACGGTTAGAACACATCTCTCTCTCTCTCTCTCTCTCTTTCTCTCTCTCTCTCTCTCTCTCTCTCTCTCTCTCTTCCTCTCTTCTCTCTCTCTCTTTTCTCTCCCCCTCTCCTCTCTCTCTCTCTCTCTCTCTTCCGCTCTCTTCTTGCTTGCTTTCCTTCTTTCTCTCTCTCTCTCTCTCTTTTACTCTCTCAGGCCCTTTCTTAATTTCTTTTCAGTTTCTCTCTCTCCCTCTCTCTCTGGTGCCTCCTCCTGTGTAAGTTCTCTTTTCGCGCAGCGCTCTTTCCTCCCTTGCCTCTCACTCACATTCTCTCTCTCTCTTCATTCTTTCTCCCTCGTCTCTCATCTCTGCTATCTCGCGCGCTCTTTCGCTAGAAGCATACTGCTCTCTGCGCTCTCCTTCTTCTCAGCGATTTTCTTCTCTCTCTTTTCGCTTAACCTTATATTTCGCCGATGCTCATATCAATGTTGAACACATCAAAAAGATTTCATCAAAATTCATCCATCTCAATCATTCCGTACTATATACGTTTCTGCAGCTAGGAAAATACACGCTAGACAAGTTTTACAATGTCGCTATAAATGTGTAATGAACTCGCTGGTTATGCGCAGGAGCGCCACCTTTCTGTGTTCGGCACGCGATGAAGAGAAACGAATGCGAGAGCAGTCCTTGGATGACGACAGGATGCTGGAAGTAGCTCTCGTATGTCGGACTCGCAGCCGCTGCGTCCTGATAGAGAGTCCTCACGATTCGTATGCTGCCAGAGATGAATTGTAGCGTATATATGGTGGCTTCTCTCTCTATGTGTGTGTTGTGTGTGGTGTGTGTGTGTGTGCTGGTGTGTGTGTGGTGGTGGTGTGTGGTGTGTGTGTACTGTGTGTGTGTGATTGTCGTGTGTGGCGTGTGTGTGTGTGTGTGTGTGTGTGTGATGGCGTTTTGTGTGTGTTGTGTGTGGGTGTAGTTCGCGCGCGTTTTGTGTTAGTGGGTGTGTGTGCGCGCGTGCGTCGCGTGCGGTGCGTGCCTCGTGCGCTGCGTGCGTGCGTGTCTGGTGTGTGCGTGTGTGTATGCGTGTTGTGTTGTGCATGTGTGTGTCTTGTGTGTGTGTGTGTGTGTGTTGGCGTCGTCTTTGTGTGTTTGAGCGTGTTTTGCTATGTCGGTTGTCCTCTTCATTATCTCTCTGTGCCTCTCGCTCATATCTTGACTCCCTCCCTCCTGCCTCAATGCCTTTCTCTCGCCTCTCTTCTCTCTGTCTCGTTGCTCTCTCGGCTCTTCTCTCTCTCGGTCCCCCCTCTCCCTCTTCTCTCCCTCTCTCTATCTCTCTACTCCTCGTTCACTTCCCCTCTCTCTCTCGGGCTCTCTCTTTCTCTCTTGGTGTGTGTCGTGCGCTCTCTCGCTGCCGTGTTCTGTCGTGTGCTGTCGCGTGCTGTCACACGTCGCTTTCGGCGCGTGCGATCGTGCGAGCGTGAAGTGCACCAGGTGTGCGCCACGACGTGTGTAATTCCCTAGACCTGCACCCGGTTTATTGCTGGTTATACAGGTACAGTAGACGATCGTGTGGTGTAGGTGTTGAATTGTGCGGGTCCCAATCCTTCCCAGAAGCTGTAGTCACAATTGCATTGTACAGACCACTCGGGTGAATCATGACCTTCCATGCAATCAGTCGCCGATCCTCTCTTCTTCACTACTGTGAGCAGCACGAGGAGCATGCCACCACATTTGTACATACCCACTTGTACCACCGCGTTCAACACACCCGCGCGCGCACACGCAACGATACATCACACACACACGCGCGCTCGCACACGCACACGCACATCTCGCCACACATACAACCACACACACACACGGCACACCACACTACACCCGTTCGCCTGCGCACGCATCACACACACACACACGCCACACACACACACTGCACGCTCGCACGCTCCACGCACCACGGCAACGCCATCCCCGGCTCACGCACACTGCCCACGCATACGTGGCTCACGCCACCGACGCACACGCACACTGACACGCACACGCACACGCAACCGCAACACGCACACACACACACACACACACACACACACACACACACGCACGCACGCACACGCACACCTTCGCATGTTCGGACCGTATTCGGTGCTTACTCGGTGCTGCAGCTTGCGGTTTGAGAAGATATAATGTACTCTCCATGTCTTGAAAAAGAGAGCGCTCAGCGACAGAGAGATACCGATGACCAAGGCATATATCTGAAGCTGTAAACACATGACGGGCTGAGAGGCCTATTCAACCCTACAAATATTTGCTCTCCTATTTGAAAGTGTAATTTCAATAAGGCATTACTTTAGTTAGCAGAAAATGACCATGCGCTCTACCGCTTTGCTACAAAATGGCTCTACTAGTATACCTGAGCGACCATACTCTACTAGGCGCCTTAAAATTATTAAATGATAAATATGAATATGTGTGGCCTCGCTATCTTAGAAGATAGATGTCACAAAATTACTATTATTACTTCGCATGGCCTAGACATACAACTGCATAGGCTATATAGGACACGTACCGCCATCTATTGGCTGATTACAATTTAAATAGTGTTACGTCAATTAAAAGAAGTACTAGAATAAATTTTTCATGTATATTCATCGTTAGTATTTCATAAATATTTAAAAAAGAAGATTTTATTTGGGAGATTCTGGGCAAGCGCGACCACAGGTCTATCGCTATACTACACGAGATCTTGGTACTACTCGACACCTTAGGATCATTGTAGTCAGTAACTCGGGTATTAAATTAGCACGTAAAAATCTCGTGTGAATGTCCTAGCTACATTAAACGAACAACATTAACAAGCACCAGCAACCACGTGACGACAGCTACACGTGACGACAGCAACCACGTGACGACAGCAACCACGTGACGACAGCAACCACGTGACGACAGCAACCACGTGACGACAGCAACCACGTGACGAAAGCAACCACGTGACGACGCGTGCTTACCCGGCAGATGGCGCTCTTCAGTTTGTCTCTGACCGACGTGAAATCACAGAAGATGGTGCTGTAGATGATGATGCAACCCATCAGGATGAAGTTGTTGAGGTTAGGTGCAGATATCTTTATTATTCTATACGCAGCACGCGTGGAAGGAGGGAGACATACATTATATCAGGAATTGCACGTAGGCGATAGGAGTGGATGACATGAGACTAGATGATTGAGTGCTATACACTGCAAATGAGACTAGATGATTGAGTGCTATACACTGCAAATGTTCGCTTTCTTTTCTTAATTATGCCATCTATAAAGGCTTATTTATCACTGTAAACACGTCACATTTACTCTATTTATTCCTATATGTCATCTATGAAAGCTTGTTTATAGCTGTAAACACGTCACATTTCTTCTATTTACTGCTATATGCCTTCTATGAAAGCTTGTTTATAGCTGTAAACACCTCACATTTCCTCTATTTATTCCTATATGTCATCTATGAATGCTTGTTTATCGCTGTAAACCCCTCAGATTTCATGTATTTAATCCTATATGCCATCTATGAATGCTTATTTATAGCTGTAAACACGTCACATTTCTTCTATTTACTGCTATATGCCTTCTATGAAAGCTTGTTTATAGCTGTAAACCCCTCAGATTTCCTCTATTTCTTCCTATATGTCATCTATGAATGCTTATTTATCGCTGTAAACCCCTCAGATTTCATGTATTTAATCCTATATGTCATCTATGAAAGCTTGTTTATAGCTGTAAACACGTCACATTTCTTCTATTTACTGCTATATGCCATCTATGAAAGCTTATTTATCGCTGTAAACCCCTCAGATTTCATGTATTTAATCCTATATGTCATCTATGAAAGCTTATTTATCGCTGTAAACCCCTCAGATTTCCTCTATTTATTCCTATATGTCATCTATGAATGCTTATTTATAGCTATAAACCCCTCAGATTTCCTTTATTTACTCCTATAATTATGTCATCTATGAAAGCTTGTTTATAGCTGTAAACCACTCACATTTCTTCTATTTACTCCTATATGTCATCTATGAATGCTTATTTATAGCTGTTAACCCCTCAGATTTCTTCTATTTATTCCTATATGTCATCCATGAAAGCTTATTTATTGCTGTAAGCCTCTCAGATTTCTTCTATTTAATCCTATATGTCATCTATGAAAGCTTATTTATTGCTGTAAGCCCCTCAGATTTCATGTATTTACTTCTATATGTCATCTATGAAAGCTTGTTTATAGCTGTAAACACGTCAGATTTCCTCGCTACTCAGTTCCTATACGCCGTCAATCGCCGCCTATATTTGCTCGCTCTACGTCCGACATATTATACCCCCACCCCCATCCCTCTCACTCAGCCGATGGAAGGGATTTTACGGAAATAATATTATTATAACGAACGCGTTTGAGAAAACGCTCTGAATGAACGATAATCTGGCGAAAACTGGCGATCCGGAAAATCACTCCACGTGACAAACCGCCAGAGAAATAACTTGAGAAGCTTCTGTGTGATTTGTGTAGGAAACCCGTCTCTGCGTGGGAACACCGAACCCTCAAGTGTAACGTGTTAGTCATCGTCATTACCTTTCGTCAAAGTCCGTTCATATAGAAAAAACAACTACAGCGGAACACAAGAAACAAAGCGACCTTCCTCTATACGAACGGACTCTAGTACAGCTATCATGCGCGCCCTCTAGCGTTGTATAGTATTCTAGACCCCTCACTACCAGTACGTGGCGCCCTCTAGCGTTGTATAGTATTCTAGACCCCTCACTACCAGTACGTGGCGCCCTCTAGCGTTGTATAGTATTCTAGACCCCCTCACTAT